CTTTCGACTCCTGAGCAGTGGCCACAGTTACTGTGGTATTTCCCGAAAGTGCGGAGTTGCCATGGTGTCTCCATGACAACCAGAGCATCTCATTCATTATCCCCAGCACCTTGGCAGGGAAAGCTGGACCTAGGGCTGGGAGAGCACAGTGGGAGCCTGGCTGAGGGCTAGAGGCCTCTGTGACTGAGGCTCCCTCTTGCTGTCCCCCGTCCTGGCCAAGCTTCCCCTGCAGGTTCTGGACCCCCTCTCGTGGGGTCTGAATTCAAATTTCAGCTCTGCCACCCATTAGCTGTGTGATTTGGGGCAAATGACTTAATCTCTCTAAGCCTCATTTTTCTCAATTGTAAATGTGAAAATACCAGTATTAGTTTCAAGGATTAAATGAGATGAGGTGTGTGAAAGTGCTTATTAGCACATGGCCAGGCTCACGATAAATGCTCAGCACACAGCAGCAGTAAAAATACCAATGACAATAATTATGATGGTATTACTGTTTTTTTAAAAATAGAAACCCCTGAGTTTCATGGAGAAATGACAAGATTTTGAGTCGATTTAGCATTTCCTATGTAACTATGACTAGTCACTTCACCTTGAAGCCACAGTCTTCTCATCTGTAAACTGGGAACAGTAACAGCTGCTCACTTCTTCACATCCTGGGTACTCAGGAAGGACGGATGCCTGGGGAAGTCATGGAAGCTTCCAGCGTCAGTCAGTCCTGTCCCCGTCCTCGAAGACACCCAGGCATCTGGGGAAGGGGAAGAGAGGAGATCGGTGTTTGGGGAGGACCTCTGTGTGCCAGCTGCCGGGCAGGGCCTGCCCCTTCAGAGGTCAGTGAGTCCTGGTCCAGCCCTGGGCCCTGCAGCCTGCAGAGCGCCGGGCGGCGGCAGAAACGCCCACACCTCCTCAGTATGGAGCACACGCTCAGGTGCACCCAGAGACTGGGCAGGAAGCCAGATGAGGGAGGGGGGCCGACTGTGGGGCTGTGCTGACTGCGGAGTGTGTGGCCAGCCTGTCTGGGGAGGGTGTGCAAGTGCCTCAGCTGATGTGGCCAGTAGGGATGTATGCTGCATGTCACCAGAATGCGCTGTTTTTCTTAAAAAGAATTTTATTCATTGATTTTAGAGAGATAGAGGAAGGGAGAGAGAGAAACATTGATTTCATGATCCATTATTTATACATTCATTAGTTGATTCTTGTAGGTGCCCTGACTGGGGATCGAACCTGGAACCTTGGTGTACCAGGATGATGCTCCTACCACCTGAGCTACCTAGCCAGGGCAGAGTGGGCTCTTTTTAAAGACATCTTAGAAGTTCTGACTTTCATGCGAAATCTCCTGAGTTTAAATCAAAGAGAAATGTTTTGCTCGTCAAAGGACGTAAGTCTACGCCTTGGTCTGGCCGAAGGACCCTAGTCTCCAGCCTCTGGCTGTGTAATGGGGAAGGGCGGAGCCTGGGAAACGGGACCTTCCGGGATGGGGTGGCAGGGTGCGTGAGGACGAAGAGGAGGGATGACACTGGAACTGGGGTCTCGAAGGGCGAGTAAGAGTCCCAAGGGGTAGGGGCAGAGATTCCAGGCAATGGGAACTGCATTAGAAAAGCCTAGATTCATGACCAATATTGGCCACTGGTTGGGAGGGGTAGGAGTTTGGCTGGTGATGTCAGCAAGGCACAAGGCATTAGGGGATGTCGAGGCCTCAGCCCTCTGCTGTCCTTGAGGCCTCAGTGGCTCCGGCGGGACTAGAAAACCTCCAGTTCTCCGTCCCTGGAGCCAGGGCTCTGGAACGCAGGCTGTGGGGAGGGCCTTGAACAGCCTGGGGGGGCGGGGTTGCAGTGGCGGGGCAGCACCAGAGGCCAGCGGGCTGTTTACCAAGCTCTTGGCTCTCCCCCACCCTACCCCAGGGGACGGGGGCTGGTGGGCCCACTCCCTTGCTCCCTTCACCCTCTCTGGAGCCTGGGCCTGCGCTTTGCCATGGCCTCCTCCCTGGCCTCCTGACCCCTAACCATCTGGCCCCTCCCCACACGTCCATCTAGTTCCTGGGAAAGGCCACAGCCTCTGAAAATGGGGATTGAGAGAGAGCACGCACAGAGCTTCACAGTGTTTCGCGGGCTCCGTTCTCTCCCATGTGGCAAGTATACGAGACGGGGCTCGAGGTAACAGTGACTGACCCTGCCCACTGTGCACGTCGCTTCGCTCTGAGCGCTGCGGATGGATCAGCTCATGTAATCACGACTTTGGGGAGTCTGACAAGTTCCCCTGCTTTTCAGACGAAGAAACGGGGCACTGAGAGCTAAATAGCTTGCCCGGGATTGCACGATGCCTGGGCGCTGGGGCTGGGGTTTGAACGAAGCCACTTGGCTCCCGTGGTAACCGCGAGGTGCTGTGGGCCTAGGGCTTTAGGTCCATTGAGTAGTCTGGGGTCGTGGGATCTGGACTTCCCCAGACCACTGCAGCCTCTTCTAGGGCACGAGCATAGCTTTGGGAGAAAATGCTGTCTGATTCCCACAAGGGTCTGTGTCCCCCAGATGCCTGAGACGTCGCCGATGGCATCGTTAGTGCACACACTGAAAGGCTGTTAATGCAACAGGCTGGGCCACACTGCCTGGCCTGCCAAGGCAGCGGGCTCAGGTGATCCCACACCTCAGTGGTGAGCAGCAGCTCACCGCTGGGGCAGCTCCGCCTCCCCACCCATGGCATCCTTTCCTGGCCCCGGGCCGAGGGGCGGGGCTCATGGTGACCGCAGGGCAGAGGCCTGCCCTTATCTGTGGTCTGTAGGACGCAGGTGCAGCCTGGGTACAGATAGGACCAGCCAGCCAGCTCTCTTGACTCCGCCCAGGAAACTTACCCCTTTTCTCCTGCTCTTAACTGGTGGAGTCCCTGGAAAGCTCCCAGCACTCCCTCAACTCCAGGCTTTGGTATGTGCCCCTCCCCGCTCCCACCCCTGGGCAGCGTTACTCATTGTTCTGGTCAGTTCAGGTACCACTTCCTCCAGGAAGCCTTCCTTGGGCCTTGCCCCTCCAGGGACATTAGGCGGCCCTCAGGTCTTTCAAAGGCCCTCCCTCCCCACTGGCACACTCCTCCCCCACATTGCCGGTGCCTGTTTTCCTGGTGGCCTTGGATTCCTGTGGTGCTGGCACATAACGGAGGCTGAATTGTAGGGTCTCAGAGGTGAAAGGGTCCCCAGAGAGCACTGGGCCCAACCCCTCTCTAACTGGCAGGAGGCCCAGAGAGGCGCTGGGTGTACGTGGGGTCATACGGCGCAGGCCGTGGAGCCAGGAGCCGACTTGGTGTCCGGGACGTGTCCTCGAGTCACACCCCCGCCCCTCGCTTCTGAGCCTGTCTTTCAGAAACATTTATTTCTCTTATTTTCACAAAAATAAATGATTCTTGTAGAAAGTTTAGGAAACAAACAAAAAGAGGACAACATAAACCACTCAGGTATTCATCGTTAACTTTTCTTTTGTATTTAGTACCAGTTTCTGGCCAATGCATGAACATTTTTACCCCGAATGTAATGGTGAATACTGTTTTTACCTGCTTTTTGCCTCAACAGTCAGCATGGTGACCATACATCCGTGTCAGTAAACATCTTCTCTGACCTGTTGTGAAGGGCTGCCGGGACACCACCACACGTTTGCATCACGATTGCCAAGGGCAGTCCCCTGTGTTGGGCACTCTGTGTGGAAGTGCCACCCTTTACTGATACATTGATAAATAGCGCTGGGGGCTGTGTTTCTGTGGGGAAATCTTTATACACGTCTGCAGACACTGCCTCTAGGACAGGGTCCTCAAATGAAGTTCAGGGTCTCTGTGTGCTGTGCCCCTGCCAAACACACCGGGTAGCCTTGGAGCTGGGGGGACTCGGGATGTTTTCACCCCCGGGTCTGAGTCTGAGGTTTGCCTTCCCTCCCTGGCTGCACCGGCCCAGGCCCTCGCACCTTCTGCCCCTGTCCCCATCCCCACCGTCTTGGGCGCTGTCCTGCTAGCTTTCCAAAGCTGCTTAGGCTCATGTTGAAGGGAGACTCGAGCTGAGGTGGGGGGCTGCTCTTTGAGGGCCGGAGTTGGGGCCTGAGGGCTGTGGGTGCACATGTGCGGTCTCTGTGAACTCTGAACTCAAGTTCACTTTGTGAACTCAGGGAGACAGCCCAGGCAGCCTGCCTGTCCACGGTCGGCCAAAGGGGAGGCCGGAACCTGGAGTTCTGGCCACCTAGGTGGACAGAGCCCTAGTAACGGAGATGCCTCCCTGCCCACCAGTCCCTCGGGGTCCCGGTGTGTGGACGGTTTGGCGTGTGCCCTGAGGAAGAGAGGCACCTGCTGCACTGGGGCAGAGAGCGACGGCTGCCGTTTCTTCAGTGTTGCTTGTGCCCGGCCCCTCCCACTAATTCGCTGGGTTCTCCTCTGCGCTGCGGGGTGGCTGTTTTGCAGATGCTGGCACTGATGCTGGAAGGGGCCTTCTAGCACGGCGAGGCCACTGATGCCTCACAGCTCTGGCCTGGCTGCTCTGTGCAAGCCTCAGTCTTCTTATCTGACAGATGGGGCTGCTGGGCCTGTTCAGAGAGAGAAATGGGGGAAAGCACTACGGGTAATTGAGGGGAACGCTCGTGTGAGATTTAGAATTCCACCTCCAGCTTCCAGGTCTGGGAAATGTTTATTGTTCACTTCTTCCTGCTTCTGGAGTGTTCTTGGTCTAGTCTTGGACTCTGATAATTATAGTAAGTAGCAACTGCCATTGTAAACACCAGATGCTGCTGTAAGTGACTTATATGCATCATTGGACCTAATCCCTCAGTCTGTCTTATGAGGTGGGTACTAACATCAGCCCCATTTTTTAAGTAGGCAGACTGATACTCAGAGAGATTAAAGAGCTTGCCCAAATCGCTCAGCCAGGCCGGCCGGTAGCACTCGGACTTAGGCCTGCCTAGGTCAGGCCCTGTGCATCTACCGTCAGTGGACCCCCAGAGCCCACACTCTGACTCTTCCCTTTCTGATTCTTCTCTCTACAGCCTTGGCCCCAGGGGCCCCACCAAGTCAGCGGCATGTGGCACCCCCGGGCCTGGCCAGTGTCCTCCCGCCAGCTGCCCGGCCCCCCCAGGAGGCCCTGACGCCCTGGGGCACTTCTGCTGTGCACAGGACCACGTGGGGGTTTGCCATGGTGACATAAAGGGGCGTGGAGGAAGGAAGGAGCACAACCAGCCTGCGGACGGCGCCCCTGGCTGGGAGGAAGGGCCAGCGGCCCGGTCCTCCACTCCTGCTGCCCACTGAGGGCCTCGCCTGACAAGTGTCTGTGAATTTGTCGGTCAGTGGACCGCTCCGGCATCTCCTCCTGCGGGGGGCCTCGGGGTGGCCGGGGCGGGCCGTGCCGCCGGGGCCGCAGTCTCGAGGACCAGGATGCCCGCCCTGGCACGCTTCCGCAGGCTGTGTCGGCACGTGTCCCCACAGACCGTCCTCTTCCTGCTGTTCGTCTTCTGCCTGTTCAGTGTTTTCGTCTCCGCCTACTACCTATATGGCTGGAAGCGGGGCCTGGAGCCCTCGGCTGACGCCCCCGAGCCCGACTGTGGGGACCCGCCGCCCGTGGCCCCCAGCCGCCTACTGCCGCTCAAGCCCGTGCAGGCGGCCGCCCCTTCCCGCACGGACCCGCTGGTGCTGGTGTTCGTGGAGAGCCTCTACTCCCAGCTGGGCCAGGAGGTGGTGGCCATCCTGGAGTCGAGCCGCTTCAAGTACCGCACGGAGATCGCGCCAGGCAAGGGGGACATGCCCACACTCACTGACAAGGGCCGAGGCCGCTTTGCCCTCATCATCTACGAGAACATCCTCAAGTACGTCAACCTGGACGCCTGGAACCGGGAACTGCTGGACAAGTACTGTGTGGCCTATGGCGTGGGCATCATCGGCTTCTTCAAGGTACGCAGGGGGCAGGGTCCCCAAGCAGTCAAGAGCTCCAGCTAAGCCTGAGGCCCGTCTCCACTCTCATTTACTGAGTGCCTGGCTTTTCCTATCTGTGGAATGGGTGTAGTGGTAGTGCCTGCCTCCCAGGGTTTCTGTGAAGGTTAAATGGGTGAGTATACACGAAGCATTTGCAGCAGACCATGCTGGTGCCTAGTAAGTGCTTTTTAAGGATTAGGTTTCATTAGGGGCACAGGGCAGGGGCATTGGTGGCTGCGGATGCAGCTTGGCCTGTAGCGGGCACGCAGCTGAAGGAGATCCCCGGGGTGGGTGCAAGGTAGGAGAGGATGTGCCTTGCTAGGCCCCCAAAACCTGTCCTGGCAGTCCTCCTGAAGGATGGGGTATGTCGTTCCCATTTTGCAGATGGGCAAACCAAGGCTCAGGAGGGCGAAGTTCTGTGTACATGTCTGTGCAGCCTGTAAGTGGGAGAGCCAGGATTTGAACCCAGACTTAGAGAGTTTGGGCTCCAGATCACAGGACCTTCCCTCTCGTCTGTGGTGGAGCGTGGGATGTATGCACCTCCTGAATCCGAGCCAGTTTGCAGTGGGGGAAAGGGGAGGAAGAAGTCCCGGTGGGCGGGCGAGCTACTCTGGGCTCTGGGGGGCCTCTAGAATGGCTGCCGGATCGGATCCCCTCGGAAAGTGTTGTGGAGACGCTGTCCCTGGGGAGGGGCAGGTTGGGGGCAGCTGCGTGGGGCACCCAGAGGCGCTGGCCAGAGGACTCTGACCTGTCAGATGGAAGCGAGCACTGTTTGGGACTCCAGTTGGGTGTTGGGGAGCATTCGTCTCTCAGTTCAGCAAATATTTACTGAATTTGTTCTGGGCCCCGTGCTAGGTACTGGGGACACAGTTGTGGTCCAAATGTGCCAAGTCCTGCTGTCATGGAGCGGACATTTCACTGCCGCAGATTAGGGTGGGTGACAGTAAACAAATGAATATGCCATGTGGCAGGTGGTGACACCTTCAGAAAGAAACAAAGCAGGGCAGGGGCACGGGGGGGGGGGTGGGTATGGTGCTCGGGACTGTTTTTGATGGAATGGCTGGGAGAGTCGTCCTTGATAAAGTGGCTGCAAGGGGGTGAGGGAAGAGTCGTGTGGCCCTCTGGGCAGCACGGAAGGGGCTGCCACGCTGGAGGGACCTGGTCCCAGAGCCGGGTCTTGCTTGACGTGAGTGCGGAGGGGAGCAGGAGGTGGACCCAAGGGGCCCATGTTCACTGTCGGATGGCCATTCGTGACCGGGCACTTGTGGCTGCCCCTGTGCACGGGCCCTGTGTGGGAGGAGCCCGGTGTATTGGCGGGTTTCCCGCGGCGTGTACTTCCCTGCCTTACTGCAGCAGGGTGCTCTGCTGGTGAAGGTGTTGTGGGCCTGGTCATTGGAGGCCCCCAGGAGTCCTGCAGTGGAGTACCCTGGTGAGGTTTGTTCCCTGGCTGGCTCGGTCACAAAACCCTGCACCTTGCAGGGCACTATCTGGGAAGTACTGACCTGGTTCGTGGGTTTATAGTGGCACAGTGTCAGACTGTCTTCATGGTCTGTTTCTCCTTTTCTCCTGGACTTTGTTTCTGTTCCTGCTGAGAACTTCATTCAGATCGAGTCAGAGCCCCCAGCCTGACAGCTTCAGAATGGCTGGCATTTCTTGAGTGCTCACCCAGAGCCATGCCCCGTCCTGTATGCCTTGCATGAATTAACTCACCAGCCATCCTCCAAGCTAGGTAGATACCATCTTGATCTCAAGAGAGAAGGAAACAGAGGCAAAGAGGGGTGAAGACATGTGCCCATACTCACGTCCAATAGCACCGACCCGGGGTTGGAAGCAGGAGGTGTCTGGCTCTTGAGGCCTTAGTCTTAACCATTGTGCAGTGAGTTCAGGAACCGCAGGTACCATTGATTTAGGAGAATTTGCATTAGAGGGCACATCCGGTGCACAGAGCCCCCAGTCTCTGGGAACCAAGTAATGGGCTAGGGTAACTGGGCACAATTGGTTCAACAGAGCACGTGATCCTGTCTAGCCCCAGTTCCTTGCTCTGCAGGTGAACACGAGGCCCTGGAGGGGTCAGGGACATGCTCAGTCTCATTGTGGAGTCAGTGGCAATTCTAGGTCTTCCTGCTCTTCCTACTCTGTTGCATAAGACCCAACTTGGTTTTAAGCAGAAGCTTGTGACTTTTTTTTTTTACTCTTATGGGCGCCCTCTGGTGGTCAAGCTACTTTTTTGCAGGGGGGGGGCTCTTTCTGCAAGACCTGCTTTGGTCAGCCAAACCCAGGCAGTTTGTGGACCCTGGGGATCTGGAGACTCATTTTCCAGTCCCCACTGGTGTTGGAACAGGGGAGAAATGTCCAGACCCTTGTTTAGATCTTGTTGTCACTTAGAAGCAGAGTGACCTTGGACACTACCCAAGCCATCTGCAAAGTGGGGCCAGTCACAGGTCCTGTCTCACTGGGCTGTGTTGAAGATAAAGCAAGACAGTGGGTAGAAAACACAAGCACTGTGCCTGGTCCCTGGGGCCACTCAGTAAATGGCAGCTGTCTTGCTTTGTCACCTCTGTGTCAGCAAACAGCTGGCAGGGGCGTCTTGTGGCTCTGAGTCCTGAAGGCATGTGGGGTCCTTCAGAGTGGGAGCAGGCCTTCATCAGGAGCCTAGTTCCTGGGTGGACAAGGGCTGCCTGACCTCCTGTTTGCACACTCACTGTGTGCAGGCTCATTGCTTTGCTGCCTTACCATGAGTGATTTGCACAACTACCCTGTGAAACGGCACTTTCTTTCCAGGGGAGGAAGTGAGGCTCACAAAGTTACATGGCTGTCTAGGGTGACACAGCTGTTAAGTCAGAGCCAGGATTTGACAGCCACACTCAGTGCTTCTAATTCGGCTGCAGGTAAGCACTGCAGAGCAAGCTGGCCCGAAGCCTGGGGCGGACACCTGGGTTCCCGAGGTCATCAGCTAGTCCCTGAGTCTGCACCGGGCTTCCCTGTGCCCGGGTGAGGGTTTCCTCCTGCGGCCTGGAGGACCACACGGGAGGATTCAGTGTCTCCTGAGGGCTGCTGAGAGGCACGCAGGTTCCCTTCCCTTGGGGTGAGGCCTGCTGTGGCCGCCGGCCTCTGTGGTGTGAGGCACGCCCCCCTTTCCCTTTCCCAGCCGGCTCCTCTCATTGTCGCCTGGGGCGGACTGTCAGTGACTTGGCTTTTCCTTCTTCAGTGTCTCCCAGCTGGGCAGCCGGCTGAGTTGTCAGCGCCTGGCAGTCAGCTCAGGGTCGGGGCTTTGAAACGGGATCCCCCAGTGCCTGTGGTCCATTGTGACCTCCCAGGCCACAGCAGGTGACGGACAGGACCTAAAATGTCACTGGCCCCCACTGTCTTTGCAGTTCTGTTCAACCAGCGCTGGCCTAGGGTTCGTGGGGAGCCTGGGGCTGGGTGAGGTGGCCTCTCTGGGTGGGGTGCTCTGCACCGAGGCCAGCTGGGGACAGCATGGGGAGTTGGTAGGTACTGCACACACTGGTAACATCAAATGTAGCTCCTTATCACAGCTTACAAGGCCAGGGACCTGCAGAGCCTTTGTGGGAATTAGAAAAAGGCACCTTTCTGGGCAGATGCGACTGCCCCTTGGGGTACAGCCAGGTGCCCTTGTGCAGTGCTCACAAGGCCAGCATTGGGGCAGCCCTGCTCACCACCCCGCCTCCTTCTCTGGCCTGGTTTGCTGCCCTTTGTCCACTGTTGCTTTGCCACACCCCACTCATTCTCCACACACCAGCCAGATGGGCCTTTAAAATGCAAATTGAACCTGTCATCTCTTTGAGGGAGTCTTTGATGGCTCCTGCTGCCACTTGCAGCCTTCAGGGCCCTGCAGGTCTGGCCCCAGCTGACCTTTCTTTCTGCCTCACCCTCTCTCCCTCGTGATCACTCAGTGTTGGCCTCTTGCTACTGCTCCTTGGCTGTGCTGAGCCCTCTCCTGCCTCTGGGCCTTAGCACTTGCTGTTCTTTGAACTTGGCCTCGACCTCTCCCCTAGTGGATGTTTACTCATTCTTCCAGTCCCACTCTGCAGGAAAGTCCCCGTGTCCAGGAGGCCTTTCTGCAGCCTGTCGACTGTGGCCAGTTATCTGCTGCCCCAGAGCTGTGGGCCTCCTCTGTGCAGCCTGAGCCTCGTTGACCTTTCGTGTTTATCTCTGCGGTTTTGATTGTTGTCTTCCTCTCTTGCTCAACTTTAAGGTTCATGAGGGCAAGGACCCCATCTGTTTTTTTCTCGCTGTGTCCTTGACACGGAACAGTGTCCAGCACGGTGACAAGTTGTGGAGCGAACAAATGAAACCTGCACTGAACAGCGGTTGCGTGCCAGGCGCTGGAGAGCCATGTGTTCCTCTTTCATTCTGTTTAAAAAGTCAGTTGCTCATCAAATAGGTGTTTGCTTCCTCTGGGTGTCAAGCCTTTGCTGGACACCGGGGACCCAGAGGTAGAAATGACATAGCCTCTGCCCTCAAGATGGCACAGGCTGGTGAGAGAGACCCTGAATAGGAATGCATCAGCCCAGGTAAAAGTTGCTGTAGTCGAGGCTTTAATGTGGTCCCAGGGAGGCCAGTGCAGGGAAGAGGGTATATGCATGGGGTTTCGGAGGATGAGCAGGAGTTTGCCAGGCCAGGAAGACAGAATGGAACTGGTGCAGGGACAAGGACAAGTTGTACCATATCCAGAGGCAGGTGGCTGAGAGGCTGGGAGCCCAGGGAAGAGGAGAAGTATGGTCCGGGACTACTGTCTGCAGGTCCCCAGGGAGCTGGGCAGCAGCAGACAGACCCTGTGAGGGGGTGGCCTTGGAAGTGCTAGGGGCCCAAGGGGGTTGGGGGTGCTGCAGGATGGAACGTCACTGTTTACACACCCCCAGTAGATACCTCCTCTCTGATCTCGTCTCCTGGCATCCTGTCAGGTTTCTCCTGAAGAAAGTTTTGTGTGCAAAAGCAGTTTGGGAACCCCAGGAAGTGGAGTCTGGCGGCCTGGTGTGTGGGCTGCGGAACTAGACACCCGGTGGCAAACCATGGCTCCTCCTGACAGCTGTGTGGCTGAAGCCCACGCTCCCCACGAAGCCTCAGCTTCCTCACCGGCGAAGTGGGGTCGCAAAGGCACCTTCCTCCTGGGCTGATGTGGGGGCTGAATGAGCAGTCAGTGCTGGCCCAGTCCTAAGCACTCCGCCAGCAGTCCACTCCTCCTCCTCCACTGCCCCTTGAGGTATCTACCGAGTTCTCAGCCACATTTTACAGCAGAGGGAGCTGAGGCACAGAAAGGTCACCCAGCTTCCCTGGGGCCAGGTGGTTGGGTCCATGCTGTCAGCTGCTGGGCCTCTCTCTTCGTGGCTTTGGGCAAGTTACCTAGCCTCTCTGGGCCCCATTCTCCGCATCTGTAAAGTGGGGATGATAGCGATGCCTCCATCACAGGGGTCACTGAGCATCACCAGCACCTCTGCCTGTAGAGTGCTCAAACCGGGCCTGACTTTGGTGAGGATGGTATGTGTGTTCGCTAGTACATTGTCAGCCAGGTGGAGCTGGGTTTGCAGGGCTAGAGATGCGCAAGCCTGCTGTGAGGGTTCACCAACACTGTTGACTTCCCGCACACCTGAGATGCTGTGGTCCCTGGGGTTCCGGGTCTGACAGCTGCTCTCTTCTCCCTGCCTCACCCCGACTGCAGGCCAATGAGAACAGCCTGCTGAGTGCGCAGCTCAAAGGCTTCCCCCTGTTCCTGCACTCGAACCTGGGCCTGAAGGACTGCAGCATCAACCCCCGGTCCCCACTGCTCTACGTGACTCGGCCCAGCGAGGTGGAGAAGGGCGTGCTGCCCGGCGAGGACTGGACTGTGTTCCAGTCCAACCACTCCACCTACGAGCCGGTGCTGCTGGCCAAGACACGCTCGTCCGAGTCCATCCCGCACCTGGGCGCGGATGCCGGCCTGCACGCCGCGCTGCACGCCACCGTGGTCCAGGACCTGGGCCTGCACGATGGCATCCAGCGCGTGCTCTTCGGCAACAACCTCAACTTCTGGCTGCACAAGCTTGTCTTTGTGGACGCCGTGGCCTTCCTCACGGGCAAGCGCCTCTCGCTGCCTTTGGACCGCTACATCCTGGTGGACATCGATGACATCTTCGTGGGCAAGGAGGGCACTCGCATGAAGGTGGAGGACGTGAAGGTAGGGCCCGCGTGCCAGACGGGGACATGCGGGCGTCAGGAATTCGCTGCCTGCATGTCCCCTGTGCTGTTAGTCCCCCTCCCTTGGCCAGGGGGGTTTGTTAATTGCCTTACTCAAAGCCAGGGCCATTTAACACTACACTGAAGTCTCAACTCTGAAGACTCAACTCAATTTTGCGTCTGGAGCGTGGAACTCAAGAAAGAACGTGTCTGTGGAGGGAGGGACCCAGTCGCCGGGGCAGGCATGGTTTAATCCAGGCATGGTTTTTTCTTAAACATTTTTTGAGAGGTTTATGTATTTATTTTTGGAGAGAGGGGAAGGGAGGGAGAAAGAGAAACACGCGGATTGGTTGTCTCTTGCGTGCTATGAACCGGGGGCCTGGCCTGCAACCCAGGCATGTGCCCTGACTGGGAATCAAACCAGCAACCTTTCAGTTCATAGGCTGATACTCAATCCACTGAGCCACACCAGCCAGGGCTGATTTTTTAAAAAATGTTTTATTTATTTATCTTTAGAGGGGAAGGGAAGGAGAGAGGGAGAGAAATATCAATGTATGGTTGCCTCTCGTGCATCCCCTGCTGGGAACTGGCCTGCAACCCAGGCATGTGCCCTGACTGGGAATTGAACTGTGATCGTCTGGTTTGTAGGCCCGCGCTCAATCCACTGAGCTATACCAGGCAGGGCTGATTTTTAACTCCCAAAAATGTTTGTGCCAGTACCAGAATTACTGAACTCTTAGAACTAGAGCTTGAATCTCACAGAAGGCATATTTTAACTGAGGTCTGTATAGATAGTGGAATGCATATGTTTAATTCAAAATGTGTTTACCAAACTAACAAAGTTTGACACGCAGCTCAGAACTGAACAGAAGCCTGCACATTGAGACCATTAAGTCATCCTTAAAATACAAGTTTCGTGTACTCACTGTTTTACTCACTCACGGTTATTAACAAAGGAAAGGCCCTCGCGTGTGTGAGTGGGGAAGGCAGACCCCATTGCCGTAAATGGAGGGCAGCGTGACAGTCGAACGGTTGCTCCAGTGACAACACAGTGGGCGGACTATGCAGAGACACCCCTGCCTCTGACTGCCTGTCCGCTCTTCTCCCACATTAGCGAGTGTCAGAGGCGAGTTAGCAGCAGACCGAGACTTCTGTTTGATGTTAGCAGGAGGACTGGAAAAGAGATGTCCAGGAGGAATGCTTTTCTCCCCGAGTAACTCAGATCACCTGTGCCGACTCATCCTTCTGAAGTCACTGCTGGGGGTTGGAAGGAAGGCTGGGGTGGGGCTGGGGTGCCACTGTCCCGCCTGGTCAAGAGTGAGTGCTCTTCTGCTCTTCCTCGCACCTCCCTAGGAGAAGGGCGGAGCAGGCGGTGTGGGATGGTGTTGGAGAGTAGGCACTGTTTTGGGAATCGGGAATCAAGTTTCAGTTTGACCCTCACTTGGGTGACTTGGGTATGTCCCTTCCCATCTCCGAGTCTCAACTATAAAGTAAGAAGGCAAGGTGGCTGGGAGGTTTTCGGGGTATTTTCTGACACCCTAGGCTCTCCCAGAGGTGCTGGGTGAGGTTTGAGGGGTGTGTGAGACAGCTGGGCCCTGAGCCCTCCCGGCTGCACTCCCCCCAGACAGGGCAGCATTGCCTCGATCTGCTCCACAAACCCTGCTTCCTCCTGAGATCTCACTGGGGGTCATCTGGTGGCCCAAGCTTGCTGGCTCCTGCTGTAACCTAGGTCTTTGCTGCCTGTCAGGGTTGGCCCCCATGAGGAAGGTAGGCTCCAGGCTCACCGTGTCCCCAGGAACCCTGGGGGTACCCTGCTGAGTTCCCACTTTCCGCATTTTTGGAGTGGGAGGACAGCCAGCAGTTTGGAGTTCTGTAAAAGAGTACCACCAGGAGTGGCCCTCCGCCATACACTTAGCTCAGCACACACCGCAAAGCGCCTCGCCAGCCAGGGTCCCGTTTGCCTTAAATGTCCTCGTGAGTCAAAAAGGACAGAGTTGTTTTACTTTTTTTTGTTTAATCCCGAGCACAGGCTGCGACTGAGCCGCTCTTTCAGAGGCACGAATGTTGCCTCAGGAAGGGGTACAGTGCTGGCTGTGCGGTGCAGTTCAAACAAGGCACCAGCAGCGGTGTGTGCAGGGCAGGCCGGGCGGTGCCCGCTCCACAGCCCTGGGTGCGCTGCCTCTCCGGCTCCTCGCAGCAGCCCCCTGAGGTGCCCACTGTTTAAGCTTCATTTCACAGAGCAGGACACTGAGGCTCAGAGGGCTGCGGTGACCTGCCCAAGGCCACCCAGCTGGAGCGTGGGTGTCATCAGGCAGTCTGTGGCCCCAGCAGGGCCAGGACGTTGGCTCTGCAGACTGTTCGGACAGCAGGCTCTTGCAGAGCTCTTAGCAGCCTCTGTGTCATGCGAGGACGTTTTTGAGCCTTGACCCCAGAATCCAATCGTACATTTGTTTCAGAAATGTCAGCAACCCTTCATTGACTTGCAGAGCACTGGGCGTGCCCTGCGCAGGGACATGGCATTGCTGGGTGTCCAGTATATCTTTGGAGAGGCTGTGGCCCTTTGACATCAGCCTTGGTTTCACCTATGAGCAGAAATCCTCTGCATTTGACAGGTGGAGATAAGGGGCTTGCAGGGGCAGTGACCACAGGCAGACCTGTGATGCCGCCACTTTTTATCATTGACCAAACGTCAGGCAGTTTAACGTGCAACCTCTTATTATATTCTTCCAAGAGCTCCATAAGGGAGATGCTATTGTCCCCACTTTACTGTTGGGAAAACTGACACCTTCTCAAGGATGCACAGCAGGGCCAGGCTGGAGTCTAGGACTCATCGTGCCAGAATCCCAGTGCAGGTGGCCACGAGGGACTGGCGTCATGGGTGTGGGGCCCGTGCGCCCACTCAGGGCCCCACGTTCCAAAGGACCGGACCAGGTGTGAGACTCCGCTGTCACTCGCCTCTGAGCGAGAGTCCCTCGTTTTCGTTTTTCACAGGGCCCTGCAGACTTCAGCCGGTCTGCAGCAACACAGCGCATCCAGGCCCTTGGGGGGGGGCAGGGCTCCCGGCTTTCCCCTCACCCCCTTCTTTTTCCTCTGCCCATCTTAGGCACTGTTTGATACACAGAATGAACTACGCACACACATCCCAAACTTCACCTTCAACCTGGGCTACTCAGGGAAATTCTTCCACACAGGTAAGTGGGTCTGCCTGTGTCCCCACTAGCAACTTCCTGTGGCCTTCAGGTCCAGACAGACCCTCAGAGCACTGCAGGTGATGTGATGGGCCACCTTGGTGGTGCATTTGATCCCTGTTCCCCACTCTCCTACCCAGCAACCAACAGCTCCCGGAACAGTCGCAGCCCCAGGCAGTGGCCCTGTGGGGACAGCAGCAGCTGAGTCTCCCAGCCTGCAGGCTGCGGTGTCCTGGGGAAGCGTTTTCTCCCGCTTGTCACCCCTTCACCCCCACCTCTTAAAATGACTTGTACTACTTCTGCTTAAAAATGTGATTGAATGTTAAGAAATTACAGAAATGTATAGCATAGAAAGTGAAAATGTCCTATAATTATACCCGCCCTGTCACGAGTTGTTTTCAAGTCCTCGGGCCTGAGGTGGAGGGCTGCGGGCGGCCTGGTCCGTGCCTCCTCTCCTCTTTTGGGTTCCTCCGAGCCCCTCGGGTTCCCCACACGCCGACCCAAGGGACACACCGAGCGTCTCCACAGTGAGCGGCTCCTCTCGCCGCCACAAGGACGGCCTGTCTTGAGTCCCAGGCCGGTCCCCGCTAGTCCGCAGTTCTGGGGGCAAGTGCACAGTACAGCCCGAGCCACATAAGAGTGACACTGGGTTGTCCCTCCACATTCTGGATATTCTCACCCTTAGAAGCGTATTGGAGATGGTTGCAGGGATGTGCATGATGGAATTAAACATTATGTGTATATTTGTGCAAAGAGCTCCAACAGATCAGTAAGTAAAAGATGAATGACCCGATAAGAAAATAGGAATAGGACTGGAACAGGTGTGTCAGAGCTGGAAGAAACTTTGGGACCATTGCCTCTGAAGCCTGCATTGCACAGAGAAGGTCTTGGCCAAGGTCCCGAGTGCATCAAAGTCACGCCCTAGAATGAAATCTAGGGCCCTGGACTAGGGCTCTGTTTGCTCCTATGCTGCAGCCCCGGCAGCTGTTCCAAGCTCTTGGTGGGAGTGTGGGGGTAGGGTGTCACCATGCCACCCCCTGCCCCATTCCTGCACACCAGCCCAGGTTGGAGGACCCTGTGGGAGGTGGGCCAGGCGGGCTGAGCCGCCTGTGCTTGGGCTGTAGGTACTGATGCTGAAGACGCTGGGGATGACCTGTTGCTGTCCTACGTGAAGGAGTTCTGGTGGTTCCCCCACATGTGGAGCCACATGCAGCCCCACCTTTTCCACAACCAGTCTGTGCTGGCTGAGCAGATGGCCCTGAACAAGAAGTTCGCTGTCGTGAGTAAGATTCCCTACGGGCCAGAGCCGGGTGGGCTAGGGGCTGGGCTGGGGCCCGACAGCGGGCCCCCAGCTGCTTTCACAGTTTGGTCTGATGGCTGTGTGAGCAGCCACTGTCTCACAGAAGCCTCACAGACGCTCCAGGAGGCGGGTGTCCACAGCCTCACTTTTAGACAAGAAACTGAAGCTCAGGGAGGCCACACCAGCTAATGAGAGCCCAGCCAGGACTCAACCCCAGCCTGTTTGTCTGCTGAGCCCACGCTCTTCTGCTCAGGCTAGAATGGGAGCTCCGGAAAGCTGGAGGAAGCACTCCAGCAGGAGGGAGTGAGGCCCAGTGCGGGCAGAGCCTGGGCCTGCTGGGTCGAGGCCCAGAGAGGCAGGAAAAGCCCAGTCTTGGTCCTCTCTCCTGAGCACTGGAGGGCATGGCATTGGGCAGAGAGTTGGAGTCTCAGTTTGTCGGTGTCTCACCCGGAGACTCTGAGCCCAGCTCATTCCCTCCAAAGCCTCAGTTTGTCATCTGCTCCACAAGGCCTTGGACCCCTGCCCTGCCATTCTGGCCTCTGATTTCCCCCTCCCATTCTGAAAGGGGGAAATAAGGCCCAGAGGGGCCGGAACCCCATGCTCACCCTGCTCCCCACCCTCTTTCCAGGAGCACGGCATTCCCACAGACATGGGGTATGCAGTGGCGCCCCACCACTCGGGCGTGTACCCTGTGCACGTGCAGCTGTACGAGGCCTGGAAGCAGGTGTGGAGCATCCGAGTGACCAGCACGGAGGAGTACCCGCACCTGAAGCCAGCCCGCTACCGCCGTGGTTTCATCCACAATGGCATCATGGTACGTGAGCCCCTGGCTGCAGGGGCGGGTATGCACACACTGTCCGGGAGGCATGGCTCTGGTGAGCTGGTGAGGGGCTGCAGGCCAGTTTCTGCCGCCCCTCTGGCATCGGAGGTCTCCATCCCAGTGAATACGGCCGCTGGTCTGCCCTTTCCACAAGCTCCTTCTTAGCCGTTGTGATAGGATGAACATTCTTTAAAGGGACTTCTGGTGAGGCCTTGGAACGGGCCTCTGTCTCTCATTTGTTTGCTTACTTGAACAATTTTCATGAGCTTTGATAGCATGCCCGACCCTTTTCCACGCACGAGGGTACAGGCATGTGCAAGCCCAACAGAAGCCTCAACCCTAGTAAACCTGGCATTCCAGGAGTCAGCCGGTGTCGTCTTAGGCTGTGGGTCTTGGTGGGAGAAGATCCTCAAGGGCAGGGGCTCCACTGTCACATAGAAGGAGACACCCTGGCTGCTCTGAGGAAGGGTCCTCCCACCCCCGTCCGTGCCGGGAGGTGCCAGAGCTCCCCTCGGCCCATCCCCAGGTCCTCCCACGGCAGACCTGCGGCCTCTTCACGCACACCATCTTCTACAACGAGTACCCCGGCGGCTCCAGCGAGCTGGACAAGATTATCAACGGGGGCGAGCTCTTCCTCACCGTGCTCCTCAATCCTGTGAGTGCTCTGCCCTGCGGGTGAGGAGGGGCTGCGGATGGCCTGGCTGCCCTGAGGCCGGCCGCCCCAGGCCTGGGGAGCAGCGCCAGGGCCAGGACTTGGGAAACCCACTCTCCTGCCTTGGCTGTGTCCCTGACCTACTGCATGACCCTGGACAGAGAATCTGAGCTATCTTTTCCCCCTTTTAAGTGATTGCAAGTGAATCTTGCACTTCAACACATATAATAGTGTTAACATTTTAGACCATATTCTCTTTCCAGTCTTGGTGTGTGTGTATAAATATATAAGTATATATTAATATACATAGCAAATTATTAATATATTAAACTATAACTATATATGAGCTATATATAATGAGTATAGTGTAAACTATTTACCTGAGCCTTCTGGGCCTCTCTTTCCTCATCTTTAAAATGGAAATAATCATTCATGTTTTATTTTTTTATTTTTTATTTTAATTTAATTTTTATTGATTATGCTGTTACAGTTGTTCTATTCCCCCTTTCATTCCCCTCCACCCTACCCCCCCATCCCCACCATTACCCCCCTTTAGTTTATGACCATGTGTCTCAAGTCCTTTAGATTCTATATTTCCCATGCTATTCTTGCCCCCCCCCCATCTATTTTCTATCTGCTGTCTATGCTACTTATTTTCTGTACCTTCTCCCCCCTTCTCCTCCTCCCACTCCCCTGTTGCTAACCCTACTTGAGATCTTCATTTCTATGTTTCCACTCCTGATCTAGCTGTCCTTTTAGTTTGCTTTCGTTTTAGGTGTGTTTGTTAATAATTGTGAGTTTGTTGTCCTTTCACTGTTCATGTTTCTTTAACTTCTTTTTCTTAGATAAGTCCCTTTAATATTTCATATAATAAGGGCTTGGTGATGATGAACTCCTTGAATTTAATCTTATCTGAGAAGCACTTTATCTGTCCTTCCATTCTAAATGAAAGTTTTGCTGGATAGAGCAATCTTGGTTGTAGGTCTTTGGATTTCATGACTTGGAATACCTCTTTCCAGCCCCTTCTTGCCTGTAAGGTCTCTTTTGAGAAATCAGCTGACAGTCTGATGGGGACTCCTTTGTAGGTGACTGTCCCCTTATCTCTTGCTGCTTCTAGGATTCTCTCCTTCATTTTAATCTTGGCTAATGTAATTATGATGTGCCTTGGTGTGTTCCTTGTTGGGTCCAACTTCTTTGGTACTCTCTGAGCTCCCTGAATTTTCTGGAAGTCTATTTTCTTTGCCAGATTGGGGAAATTCTCCTTTATTATTTGTTCAGATAAGTTTTCCACTGGTGGCTGTGCCTTTCCCCCTTCTGGTACCCCTATAATTCGGATGTTGGAGCATTTAAAGATGTCCTGGAGGTTCCTAAAACTCTCCTCATTTCTTTGAATTCTTGCTTCTTGACTCTTTTCTGTTTGGCCATTATTTGCTTTCTTCTGGTCCACTCCATTGATTTGAGTCCCAGTTTCCTTTTCATTACTATTGGTGCCCTGTGCAATTCCATTCATTTCAATTAGTTTCGCCTTCATATATTTGTCTAATTTGTGGCTATAATCAACCAGTTCTGTGAGGATCCTGATGACCAGTGTTTTAAACTGTGCGTCTGAGAGTTTTGCTATTTCTTCATCGCTTAGATCTATGGGCTCTGGGGCTTTGAGATATTCTTGCGACATTTTTGGTCTGTTCTGGCCCTTTAAGTGTGAGGAGCAGAGCCTTGGACTCCCAGGTCGCTGGGTTGTGACGCTGTATGTGGGGGCGTGGTCAGAGCGGGGAAATGGCGGCCCCCTCTGCTGTTTCTTGCAGCTGGGTGAGGAGCAGCGCCTTAGGTGGAAGCAGCGCCTTAGGTGGTTCCCCTGGGCCGGGCCACTCAGAGTCGCTGGGTTATGATGCTGTATGTGGAGGTGGGGTCAGAGCAGGGAAATGGCAGCGCCCTCCACTGCCACTTGCCGTGGGACCTGCCGGGCCCAGGTCCAACCGCCCACTCCCTCGCCTGTCCACCCGCGCACAAATGCGCGACCACAGTCAACATGCAGCCCTGCTCTCTCGCTGTTTCCCCCATGGTCGCTCACTCAGTTGCTCGCTCGGTTGCTCACTAAGTCCAACCCTGCGCCTGGATTCCGCGCGCCTGGATTCCGGGATCCTGAGTCCGTCCCACCGAGTTTTCTTGTGCAACCCAGCCCCGACAGCTGCTGGTTTCGCCCCTTACTGGTCAGGCTGAAGAATTTGTTGTTAACGGACTTCCGAAAAGTTCAATTTTCCGTGTTCTAGCTGTGTTTTCTGTTGCTAATATTTAGTTGTCTCTAAACTTGGTTGTGTGAGAAGGCACAGCACATCCACCTATGCCTCCGTCTTGGCGGAAGTCCCATCATTCATGTTTTAATGTAGATATTAAGATGCTAAGTACATATCAAGTGGTAGTGTTATTTAGTTTGTCAGGATAACTAAATATTCCTTATTGTCCATGTACCCTACCTCCTTACCACCACCAAAAAAAGTTAAACAGTATACCCAGGTAACTGTGCAGTAGGTCAGCTTCCCATTCCAGGGCTGAAATAGTCGGTGGTCAGTCAGACCTGCATTCACCAAGCTGTGCAGCAGCCCAAGGTCACACAGCGAGTTTGTTGATGGCCTATTACACCTGGTCATCGAGTGGCCCTTCAAGTGAAGCAAAACCAAAAGGTCAGAAGTAGAGCGAATGCAGCTAAGAGGCTGACCAACTTCTGCCTCCGGCCTCCCTCCCTTGGAGCAGATTAGCATCTTTATGACGCACCTGTCCAACTACGGGAACGACCGGCTGGGCCTGTACACCTTTAAGCACCTGGTGCGCTTCCTGCATTCCTGGACCAACCTTCGGCTGCAGACGCTGCCCCCCGTGCAGCTGGCCCAGAAGTACTTCCAGATCTTCTCGGAGGAGAAGGACCCACTCTGGCAGGTGGGTGGGGGCAGGGAACCAGAGGCCTAGTTGCAGGGATGAACTGCCCACTGCCCATAGATACTCGCTCTAGACATGGGCTCGGGGGGCCCACTCACACCCTCTGACCCTCAGTGCAAACTCAGGTGCTTATTTGCCCATCAGCATAGACACGCTCGTCCTTGTGCACATGTGTATATAGGCCACCTCACAGGCATGCGTACTCCTACACAGCCTCTGAGAAAACAGAAGTAAGTAAATATGATGTAGATGAAGCATAGAAAGCAACTGCCCCGCCTGGTTAGACTTGTTTTTTTCTGCTTTCCTCTCTCCATAGGCCCCGAACCATGGGAAAGGAGACTGAGGGGAGGGCGGCGGGGACAGTTTGGGGGGAAGTCTGTCCCTGGTAGCTGTCAAAAACTGCACACAGAAGCTAGAATTCATGTTGTGCTCATAGTTCAGACCAAGGGTCCACAGACTGTGGCCCATGGTCTATTTTTGTGAACAGCGTTTTCTTGGGGCCCGGCCACGCCCATTCCTGCCTGTACTGCCTGCAGCTGCTTCCAGGCCGTGGCACTGGAGTCGAGCAGTTGCGACAGAACGGGATCGTCTCCAAGCCTCTCGTGTTTACTAAATGTTTCAAAAGATTTACTAAACTTTATAGTAAATGGTTGTGACCGGGTGGAGATACATCTCAGGCAGTTAAATTCAGCAAGTACTTTGAATCCCTGCGGTACGCCAGGTGCTGGGCTGCGCGCTTTGCTAGGACTGACCCCACGTGGTCCCTGCCTGCCCTGCCAGCAGCCCAGTGTCCCGTGGAGGGGATGTGACAGGGACCCATGTAGTAGCACCTGTCAGTCAGGGCTGTGCGAGCAGTAAACCTGTGTGCAGTGGGAGTCCCTCCCCTGGATCTCGGGGCCCTAACAGCCCGTCCACTGTTGTCTTAGGACCCCTGCGAGGACAAACGCCACAAAGACATCTGGTCCAAGGAGAAGACGTGTGACCGCTTCCCAAAACTCCTCATCATTGGCCCCCAGAAAACAGGCAGGTCTCTTCGCTCTGGGTCAGCCTCCCCCACCGCCCGCTGTACCAGCCCCAGAATTCCAGGGACCGGCCTGTCCTAGTCCCATTCCCCAATGACCTGTACCCTCTTTCCCAGGAAGTAGGAGTAAACTTGGGGTGAACATGAATTGCCTGTCACTGTGGAGGTGGGAACAGGGTGGAGGGTGGGCGTGGAATTCTTCAATCTGTCTGCAACCACAGCCTCAGGGAGCTCTCCCTGGGCCCTGGGAGTCTCTGAGTCAAGGCAGAGCAGCCCAGATGACCTGCCCGGTGAGTTCAAACAGTGCCAGGTCAAACTGGTTCCAGGCAAAGAGGGCTGCGATCAGCTAGTCAGGCAATCCATTAGTCATGTCTGCTGGAAGTGCAAGGGGGAGAAGTGGTGGTATGATAGTTAAGCAGTTGCCATCCACACTCCGTAAGGCACAAGTGGGTCCCCTCATTTGATGGTAAAACACTTGAGGCTCAGAGAATTTAAGTGACTTTCTCTAACACACTTAGGAAATGGCAGATCCAGGTCTTGAACCCTGGTCTCTGTGGCCCTAAAATATACACTCTCAATCACCAGTCCAGTCTCCTGCCCTGCTGGTTAACATTCTAGCATGTTAACCATAGGCTCACACACAAGGCAGGAATGAACTCTGAAGGAGAAGAGGGAGAGGATGGGTGTGAGTGAGGGCATCCAGAAGAGGAGGCATCTTCTGAGCCAGATTTCTTAGCCCTTCCGGAATTTCACATTTGCAGACTGGAGGGTCCAGAGCTCCTTTTCCCCCCGCGCTCCTCCTGAGTGCTAGAGAGAGCAGGGGTCCAGAGCTGGAAGGGCCCAGCATAAAACATCTGGTTCTGGGATTATGAGGAGGTGGTAGTGAGTTGGGTGTGGCTGCTGGAGTATAGTGGTGAAAAGGATTTTGAGGCCAACTTCTCATTTAGTGATGAAGAATGCTGTGGCAGATTAGTGATGTCTGCAATGGGTGCAGGAGTTGAGATACTCACATGCATGCCATGTATTTGCCCTGCAGATTTGGTATGACTCCTTCACTGTATAGATGGAAGCTAAGCCCCAGAGAAGGGAAGGGGCTTTCTCAGGATCTTGCAGTGAATAATGGAGAACTAGAATCAGAACCCAGGATTTCAGACTCCATCCTTGTGTTGGGGTCCATGCCCTGGTCTCAGCCACCTTCCATCCCCGCAGGCACCACGGCCCTCTACCTGTTCCTGAGCATGCACCCGGACCTCAGCAGCAACTACCCCAGCTCAGAGACCTTTGAGGAGATCCAGTTTTTTAACGGCCACAACTATCACAAAGGCATCGACTGGTGAGTGGGCCTTTCAGTCCACAGCGGGACAGGACAGCCCTCTCAAAGCCTGCCCGGGAGGAGGTCTGCTGTAAGGAGGTGGCCACAGCAGGAAGCAGCTGGTGCTTGCTCACACAAAGTCAAGTTCCTGTAAACAGGGACAAAGTGCAGTGACCCTGGAGTCGTGGTGTTGGAGCCTTGTCGGGGATGGCACCCTTGATGAGGAAGCCCTTTGCCCTGCTGTATTACTGCTCATGTCAGAGGCCGTGGAAGTCAGAGTCCAGCTCCTCCCTTGCTTGCACAGAAACATCCTGAGGTCCAAGGTCTCGAGAGCTGGGGACAGAGCAGGGGCTAAAGTCCAAGTGTTCTGACGCGAGAGATGGCCGTTCCCACTGTTCTCATGTGTCCTTCAGAGGTGGCCCACTAGCCCTCAGGGAGACCCGGGGGGGTGGTCGACATGGCAGCTTCCTGTAGAGCCTGTCACCAGAGGTCACCTCGGGGTGTAGGACCGTGTGGGGATGGCTCTGTGTTTTTCAGTTTGCATCGTTCTCTCTGTTTATCTTTTCTTACCTTATCTCTGTGTTACTTTTGTTTGTCATCTTTATATCAGTGGTTTGTTTCCCAGGGTGGGGAGATTATGGCCATTCTTCCAGTGCTGGGATTTTTTTTCTGTGTGTATTTCTCTCTCTCATGTTTCATGTCTCTATTTACCTACCTACTTGTCTCTGTCTGTATCTCTACCACGTCTCCAGTCTCTTATCTAGAGCATGTGGTGGCCAGACGTGCTGCTGGAAGTCAGTGTGTGTCAGATCTCGGAGAGGTGATGTGCTTCGACACCCCGTCTAGGCCACACCTTCTGCTGGGACTAGGCAGCGCCCAATAGCAAATACGTCAACGTGTCTGTGGCAAAGGGTGTGAATATTTGTAGTAAGTGAGATGAGTAAGTCAGGTTTTGCTGCCAAGTGGCTTTGCTACAGACATAGAGAGGAAGCTTCAGTTTTCAGAGCTTTCTCAGTTTAGGTATTACAGTGGATCGTGGACAGGAAGATGCATTTTATGAAGAGAATTCAGAAACAAGAGAGAAAGCAAGTCCTCAGCTGCATCCCTAAGATTTTGACTTTGTAGAGATGTGTAGGGTGGGTGCAGGAACCTCACAAGCCTCCAGATGACTCTGATGAAAGGGGCCCCTGGGACCGCCCTGGGGAATCCCTGTCTCACAGGGCGGAGGAGGGGTCCTGCACATGAACTAGGGCGGGCCTCATGAGCTTCAGTTCCCAAGAACCCCTGAAAATGTACTTCTCCTTCCCGTGAATAGGTGCTCCTGGGAGGGTCCAGAGTGTTCATTTAGTTTTCTGAGGGATCCTTAACCTAGAGATGGTCCCAAAGGACTGGTGTGGACGGTTACTCCCAGTGAGATGTGGCAGGTTCCTCTGGAAAGCTGCAGATCCCAGCCCCAGCTCGCCCCCTAGTGGCAGTGAGCGTTAGGGCCCTGTCAGCTTCACTCTGGGAGTGCGCGTTTGGGATGGAGACTCAACCCCTCCCCCTGCCACAACAGATAGCACACCCAAAGTCTTCAGCTCCCCTCACCACAGGGATTTCTGAAGAGGGAGACTGCGAAGTGGCCATTCCTCCAGGACCCCTGCTGGAAGTGAGCCCTTGCCAGGGAGCGATGCACCCTTCTTGCTTTCGGAAGTTCAGACTGCAGCGACCCTTGCCCCCTGTGCTCTATCCCTCAAGCCCCTTCCTCATGGGTCTTGACTGTGAGCCCCCTCCCTGGGCTTTCTGCAGGTACATGGAGTTCTTCCCCATCCCCTCCAACACCACCTCCGACTTCTACTTTGAGAAAAGCGCCAACTACTTTGATTCAGAAGTGGCGCCCCGGCGGGCAGCTGCCCTGTTGCCCAAAGCCAAGGTTCTGACCATCCTCATCAACCCGGCGGACCGGGCCTACTCCTGGTACCAGGTGAGCCAGGCTGGAGCAGGGTCCTGGGTGCGGGCGTGGGGCTCCGTCTGCCACTCAGCTCCTCACTCACTCAGCAGCTGTTCATTAATCACCTGCTATGTGCCCTCCCCAGGCTTCCGGGGTGTGTGGTGGGTAAGGAGGGGCCGCCTCCACAGTGCTTCTAGCCTGGTGGAAGAGAAGGGCAGAAACCCTTGGAATCCCAGCCAGCAGTTACCTGCCCGCTCTCCTGGCTTGGTCTGGGGCCTGCCTCTCAGTATGACACCAGTAAGAGGTGAAGGCTGTCCCTACTTTGATTTGGTGGGCAGTGATCTGGGCGGATTCGAACTGCGGCCCCTCCCTGGACGCTGGGCCACAGTGTGGATGAGGGCAGGAATTCAGGGAAGGATGACATATAGGACCTGCTATTCTTGGTGGAGGGTGCAAATGCCTGACCAGGTAAGGAAGTTACCGGGACTGCGTCCATGCCAGGAACAGTGTGACTCCTAGTCCTTACTGGACTGTGTAAGAGCCAGAACTTCCTTTAATTTTGATGACCTGACTTAATTTCTGCCGAGCCATCCTACTGGGCTGAAAGGACAGCTTAGGCTGGGCCTTTTTGGGGGGTGTCCTCTGTCTGCCACATACTAGGGTGTTGGGAGTTCCCGGCCTACCATCTGGTCCAGGCCTCCTCAGGCCACTTTGGGCAGCTCCCTGTCACCCTGCTCACCTGGGTGCTCTAGGTGGCCACCTCTGCTCCGGGGCCTCGCTGGGCCCCCACCACTGTCAGGGGCCTGCTGCAGACCTCTTTGCGCTCTGGCCCCACAGACCTCCCTTTCCTCTGAGCTGGACGTGGTCCTCAGTGGGAGGGTGGGGACAGGTGAGGGACCCCCCTGGGTGGCAGGTCCCTGATCTGTGGACTGTGGGAATTCTGCAGCTGCCCACAGCCCATGGCGTTATTTCAGGTGGTTCAAACCTGGCATTTCCACCTTTCCGATTCCCTCCCAATCCTTCTGTCGTAGTCTGCATGGGCAGTCATAACAAAACATCGTAGACTGGCTGGCCGAAACAGCAGAAATTTGTTTCTCACAGTTCTGGAGCTAGAAGTCCAAGATCAAGGTGCCACCGATACAGTTCCCGGTGGTAGGGCTCTTCCTGGCTTTTAGACAGCCGCCCTCTCCGGTGGCCTCCCACGGCAGAGAGAGCAGACCTGCTGGTGCTTCTTCCTACAAGGGCACTAATCCCATCACCAGGGCCTCACCCTCGTGACCTGTCTATGACCTGTCTATGCCTCCTCACCTCCCAAAGGTCCTATCTTAAATATTACCACATTGGGGGTTAGGGCCTCAATGTATACCTTTGGGGACAGGACAGACATTCCCTCTATAACACTTTCTGTTTCTCTAAAGGACAAATTCTTAATTTGGTGCAAATGGCACTTAAGTCCTCTCTAACACTGTTAGGCTGTGTCTTCAACAGAGAGTACGGACTTCCGGATCATGACCTACAGCAGACATTTCTGTCTGGCTGGCATTTGAGAACATTGCATTCTTTTTGTTATATTCATGAACTTTCTGCATGGACAGTTGTTTTGACTTCCCATTTATGGAGCAGGTAGTGGGTTTTAGGTTGAAATTATGTGAATAAGAAAGGTGAATCCCTATAAACAGAAGTACCTTGGCGTTGACGCATACTTTTTATGGTGTGTTTTGTGGATGCGGCAGAAATTACAGAGATGGTGTGCAAATTACCAACATTTGGAAACTCTGTTCTAGTCCAGCTCAGGCTAGAGCTGAGGAACAAAATCTTTCCAAAGATGAGGAAACTAGGCCTCAGAGGGGCCAGTGACTTCCCTGAGGTCAGGTGATGATGGGAAACACAGGCAGGACTTGAACCCTGGCTCCTGGTTTCTGCCTGGGTCTTCTCGCTGCCTCATTGGCTCTGCCACTGCAGCTTCCCACTTTGTGCCTTTCCTGTGACATGTTGACCCGCCCCCTTGCCTGCAGCACCAGCGAGCCCACGATGACCCAGTGGCCCTGAAGTACACCTTCCATGAGGTGATCACAGCCGGGCCCGACGCGTCCTCGAAGCTGCGCACCCTCCAGAACCGCTGCCTGGTCCCCGGCTGGTACGCCACCCACATTGAACGCTGGCTCAGCGCCTTTCACGCCAGCCAGGTAGCTGCCTATCCCTCACCCCTGGGAGGGTGATCTCGGCCGGCAGGGGCCACAGACGCTCTCTCGCTGCTCACGGGCCGGAATGCCAGCACTGGCGAGTCAGATCTCTGGGGCCTTCCAGAGTTTCAGTCTGGTTTATCTCAAGGTTGATGTGTGACAATTACCTAAGTCCTGTTGTCCCTTCACAACAGGGACAGCAGCCCTAAGGGGATCCAGATTGCATGGTGGGTTTTAGGAAAACTTGGAGGACTTAGGCAGGAGAGTGATGTGTAGGCCAGAAGCTTGGGGAGAGGCCAGAGAGGGCTGTGCAGAGGTAGGAGGGGTGGGCAGGGTTTGGTGGCGGCTCCCACTAGGAAAGGATGCCATCAGTGAGGGGAAGCAGACACCTGCTTACCCGCTGTTCAGAGGTGGAGGAGGAAACAGGTTCTCCAGAGTGCAGGGGCCCCAGTTTGTGACCGTGGCTGCCAACCCAGGGAACTGGGGGCCCATTGGCCTCTGGAGTGAGAACAGGTTCAGATCGCCCTTCTCCTTTTTCTCTTTTTCCAGATTCTGGTCTTGGATGGCAAACTGCTGCGAACAGAACCTGCCAAGGTGATGGACACGGTGCAGAAGTTCCTTGGGGTGACCAACACCATCGACTACCACAAAACCTTGGCGTGAGTGTGGCTTTGGCCTTGAAATGGGGTTTCCCAAGCAAGGCAGCTGGGCCAAAAGCCAAAGGCTTGAAAGATTGCGGGAGAGACACCGGTCAGTTGGCATCAACAAGTGTGAGGAGGTGCGCCTGTGTTTGATGGCATTCGGCAGGAAAGCTGGTATTGACACGGCCTGAGTTGTGTTCGTGAAGGTATTGACTCAAGAAAGAGGGAGCTGAAGAATCGGTTCTGTTCGGGTCGGTTGCAGTCTGGGGCGTTCGTGTCAGTCCCGTCTCGCGGTTTTTCAGAGTCAGACCAGTGGTGAGCAGCCCGGTTCCCACAGGGTTTCTAGGTACAAGATTATGACTTCGACGTAATTTGGGGAAAAGGAAACTACAGATACTGTCACGGCTCACAGTCCCCGTCATTCGAACCCAGTGCTAGCCCACTGGTAGTGCCCCCCGGTGTGTACGTGCCGGCTCGTGCCGCAGCGGCTCAGGGCTGCGTCACGGGCGAGCGACACACTCGGCTGGGAGAGGGGCTCCAGCGACGGGGGAAGAGAGCCACCCTCCCTGGCCGCCCTCCTAGGAAAGACTCACAGCAAGAGTGTTCGCTTCTCCTTGTCGTGGAGGCTGAGGGTGGGAGAGGGAGTCAGTCCTGCGTGGTGGGGCAGGAAGGAGCCGCAGCCAGGGGCGTGGGCCGTGACTCCGGGGTGCTCGGGTCAGGACCTCAGACCCACCCGCGGCTTCTTTAACTGGGTACTGTTGGGAAAAATGTCTTCACTCCTTCTGCCGTCATTTTCCTCACCTGTTAGTTGGGGCTGAAGGTATAATTCGCACCTCCCGGGGTCCCTGTGTGAAATGAAAGCGTGCACGTTGCGCTCTCAGCTCGGCGCCTGGGCAGAGTGCGCCGAGGAAATGCAGCCGCTGGTGGCGGCGGCAGCAGCAGCGTTATCTGTGCCCACCCTGTGGCCCTTTCGGGAATCCCTGCTTCCTTCCCCTGCCAAACGTGAATTCTGTTTTCCTGCTGTCCGCATTTGCCCAGAATCTCCTACTGGTTTCTGATCTGGGGCCAGTTTCTGATGCCACTGTGCCTCCCCTCCCTGGGACAGCCTCAGATCTCCTTTTCCCAAGGACCCTGAAGGCCCAGCATGGCTTCACATCCCAAAGGCAGTTTCGCCTGATCATTTCTGAAATTTACCCCAAAAGTGAAACTTCCCAGACGGCGGCTCATGTGCTCTGAGCCTCCTGTTTCTTGGCCGGTGGTCCTGGTTCCTGCCGCAGCCCACAGCGTGAGCACACCCCACCTTCACGATCCCCAGGAACCTCTCCTGAGCGTTCTCCAGCTCAGGGGGGGACCAGCTCTTACATGAATAAAGGCAACATCTGCCATTGCAGTTCAGCACGCCCATCACTGGGGGAGAGAGCAGGCGCTCTTAGTGGAGTCGGGGACGGGGCCACACAGTCTGGGGTTCCAAGTGTGCACAGGGCGTGGGTCCGGGGGGCTCCCTCCCAGGTTAAAGCAGGAAGGAGGCGAGCCGGCCAGCCCCCTCCACGGGCTTTCTTCTCCACTCCACAGGTTCGATCCAAAGAAGGGATTTTGGTGTCAGCTGCTTGAAGGAGGAAAAACCAAGTGTCTGGGCAAAAGCAAGGGCCGGAAATACCCGGAGATGGACTTGGACGTAAGTGGCGGACACGCCGCCTGCCAGCGGCGGGGTAAATAGGCAGTGTCCCTGTGCTGGCAGGAGCCTTCCCTCCCCTTCGCCCTACGCCCAGCTTGTTAATGGCCTTGACTCTTCTGGATGGTGTTCTTAAAGAGGAGGAAATGTGGGTTGGGATGCGGCGGGTCGGGACCGAGTTAGTCAGATGAGCGTTCATGCCCTTCTCCCGAGGGCTGAGGGCTGCCGGCCTTTGAGGACGAGTCGGACGTGTCTGCGCCTTCAAGGAACTCGAGTCTAGCAGTTCCCTCCTAGGGGGGACTCGGTCCACACCAGGGCGTGGGGTCCAAGGCAGGAAGTCGCAGAGGTCCAGGCTCGGGGAGTCCGGGACCAGGAGGGGCGAAGGAACCTTCTCGGAGGCTGGGAGGGGTCTCTGGAGGCGGGCCTGGGCGGCCGCATCTGGACCTCTGGCAGGGGAGGACGAGGCTTTGTTGTAGGAGAGAAGGCAGGTCAAGGACAGAGGGCAAAAGTCCCGCACTGTGACTTTTGCTCTGTTTGCCTTTTCCCTTTTGTCCCTGGTTTTGATGAATTTTCTCTCTTTTCTATCGCAAGAATTTTGAGTTTGTGTGCTGTATTTTGGTACTCCTGTGAGGGAGGGGCTTTCTTTTGGAGGTTGCCCTTTTGGAGAAGACTGTGAATGAGAACTAGGTGAATGGGATGGGCTGGCGGCGAGGCAGCCTTCAAGAGGAGGGGCCGCTCTTGAGAGAGTGTCCGCTGCTCTGAGCTGTCCTTCCCATTGCAGTCCCGCGCCTTCCTGAAGGACTATTACCGGGACCACAACATCGAGCTCTCCAAGCTGCTGTACAAGATGGGCCAGACGCTGCCCACCTGGCTGCGGGAGGACCTCCAGAACACCAGGTAGCCACAGCCGCCACAGCCAGACCGAACGTTTGTGATGGCAGGAACGTCCCGCCGTGCACTGAGCCAGACTGACCTGCGGAACAGGGAGCTGGGCCTGGGCCGGCCAAGCAGTATGAGCAATACTCTGCCGGGGCCCCGCCAGGGCCCAGAGAAGAGCCCAGATGGGTCCGCAAGCGCCTCAGCATCCAGTGCTGGGTCCACGGCCTCCAGTACCTCCTGAGCTGCCGGAGGTCCACCCTGTCCACAGCCTTCCACGGGGAGGCCACTCCCTGGTAGGAAAGGGTCCTCGAGACTCTCTTTTCTGTCCCTCACTGTGTTCTACCGACCAAGGCCTCCCCTTTGTCCCATCACTTCCCGCCCCAGCAGGGTGTCCCCTCAGTGTTAGCGGCCACATTTTCCCTGTCCTGTGGACAGTAAGGGGGAAGAGCCCCGCTGGGCCTTTTGCCAAACCAAGGAGAGAGACTGGACCCTCGGAGGGGCCAGCCGGGTACCCAAGTCGGTCACTAGCTAGACTGGACAACAGTGGGGTCCCTCAAGAGGACGCTGAACTTCCATATACGTCCTGGTTCATATCTTCAGCTCTCACCTTCCCTTTCCGGGGAGAGAGTCGCTGACTCCTAGAGTATCCACCTGATCCTCGAGGCCTCCTTTGGGGCCTGGGGCACTGCCACACCACTGGGACCCAGAGACCCGGGCCTCCACCCCCTCTCCCCGGGATATGACACGCGTGGTGTTTCCTGTGGTAGAAGATGGAGGTGGCTCGGGAGTCTGCCAGGGTCCGTGTTCCGGCGCACACGCCGCCCCGCACCCCCAGCCCTGGCCCCCAGCCAGCCCTTGCAGAGCCGGGGAGAGGCTGTGCCCTGGCGGGCCGTGGCTGAGGGCTCCCAGAGGCCCCCTTGACCTCCCCAATACTAAGAAGCTAAAGTATTTTAATATTTTGTTTTATTTCTTGGTGCCAGAGTTTATACTTTGGGTGCTGGGGTTGCACTGTGTTATATATATATATATATAATTTGTATATATATATTATATTTTTTTGGTTGGGTTTATTTTTAATTAAGTCACACAAAATGGTGGCAAGCCCCAGCCCCGTGCACGAAAATGAGATGGAAGGGAGGGGGCGGCCGCGTCTTCCTGTGTCCAGGCCTCGAGGAGACGGTGCGGGGTGCCCTGGGAGAGCTGCCTGTGTCTCCTCCCAAGAGCCCTGGCTGCCCAGGGCTGCGCAGGTGCACGGAGGCGGTGAAACACACAGGGAAGACCTGCTCTGTCTAGGAAATCTAGCTTCGCAAGTGCAGAGACCTGGGGGAGCTTTAGCCAAAGGAAACAGCCAGGCTGGTGTGGGCGACTTGGCCAGAGGCTGGCCTGTCCCCTCCCCTCACATGGTGCTAGGTGGGGAGCTGCCCTGGGAGCTGGGGGGCCCACAGGGACCACAGAGCTGCCTCCAGGCCCCCTGCAGACAGCGGGTCTCCGGGCTGTTTTCTGGTTGGGGTCCGCTCCTACCCTCCTTTTAACAATGTGAAGTGACTAAACTGGGGTACTCTCCCCACCCCCCCAGACCCCCCCACTCCCAGTTCAGCTTCGAACTGACACCCAGGAAGACCTTTCTGGAAAGCCTTGCCTTGTTCAGAAGACCGTAGCGTCTTGGGGTGGGAAGGGTCCTTCAGCTGTGCAAACCACGGGAGGTGGCTTCCTTGGCCGACGTCACGGAGCGGGCTGGGAGCAAGGCTGAGAACTGAATTTGTAGCTCCCAGTTCTGAGTCCAGCGCGCCTCTTCCAACGCCACACTGCCTCTGAGCCTCTCCTTGGGACCCTACTCTGTGCCAGGTTCCCGTCCCTTCCTCAGTCACGCCCGTGGTCACTCCAGGACATAGGGACAAACCACTTCTTCCCAGCCAGGGTGCCTTCGAGTTTTCTCAGACCCGCATTTGCATCCCTGCCTCGCACCCTCCACCTCTCAAGGCCCTTCCCAGCCTGCAGGGCCCGGGTCTCTCTTAGCTCTGAACCGATGCCCTTTCCCCAGGTCTCCACGGAGCCAGAGAGTGGTGGCTACTCAGTGGGTCCAGAGTGGGTGGCTGCATGGTCTCACTGTACTTCCCGAGGGGCTTTGAGCCCGGGAGCCCTGAGCCTTGTCCACCCTGTGGGGGAGGAAAAGCACGTGTCCCAGGACAGGGCGGCCACGCCGAGGATCCAGACCCCCACGCTGACTTCCACAGTGCCAGTTCCGAGCCTCGCTTCCCAAAGGTCAGCAAGTGGCCGGGCTCGGTGACCCGAGAGGACCTTCCAGCGCCCACGTTCCGCAGTCTACCCTCTGGGCCTGGACGCCGGCCCCCGCCCCTCGGAGCCCTGAAGGCCTGATGGGCCAGCAGCTCCACTTCTCAGGGCCTCTGGGCCGAGGAAGGAGCAGGCGGGTGTGAGACGGTGGGGGTTTTGCCCGGGCCCTTCCAGGAGGCAGGGGACTTGACCGCCACCTCTAAGTCTGGTCACTGCTCTTCCCTTCCCACTGAAGAATCTTCCTCAAGGGCCCACTGCCAGCACCTGCAGGTACTGCAGAGGGGACAGATAAGTCCCTCAGGGGCTCTCAGCTGCTGAGCGCACAGGTCCCCTCGTGGGAAGAGAGAACCAGCGGTTGGCAGGTCCAGCAGCATCAGCTTGTTGAATGTTCTCTAGCTCACTGGAAGCGTTTGGCCAAGGAGGGAGATCGAGAGTGAGGGAGAGCACCAAATCATGTAGGTGACCTCACCATCCATCCTGCTGACCCCACCACACACCCTTGCCCCCCAGGAGGTCTGTAGGGGGAGTCTGGCTAACGCTGCTTCGGTCGGTTCCAGAGCGAGCTGTAGGGTGGGCATCCTGTGATGGGACTTTTCTGGGCCCCAAAGCAGGAGCGGCCAGTGCCTCGGGCCCAGGTGAGGGGGCAGGGTGTGTCCCCAGGAGCAGACAACTGCTGGGCTGCCCCAGAGATGGTGGTGGTCCCAATGCTGGCTGACTCCATAGGCTCTTAACCCACCATCTAGATTTAAAATGAACATTTTGGTATATTTGTTTTCTCTTGCTGCATAGAGTTTTTTCTGAGCTTGCCTAAAAGTAAAAGTCGTGGGACTTCGCCCCAAAATGCGGCAGCCTGCATCTGTTCAGTCAGGACGGTGCCCTGAGTCGCCCAGGGTCGCGCAGTGGCCGTGACATGCCGGCGTCTGCTCTCCGCCCACATCCCTCTCCCCGCAAACAACTTGCACCTGGTTTGGGAATTTGGGTCCAGTCGGGGCACACATTGCATTTTGGTGTTTTTAAGGCTCATTGAATGTTGAGAAGTCCTCCTGCTCACTTTGACTTCTAAGTGGCGTCATTTCTGAGGCCAGCGGGCCTGCCGTCCCGGAGGAGCCCGCCGTTGTGTCTTTGTCCTCTGGCTTCCTTCCGCTGTTGGAGGTCGAGTTCCCTGGCCCCTGGGCCGTCGGGAACGATTCAGGCCGTGCAGAGCTTTGTGCTGACCGCACAGCTTCCCTCCAGCCTAAGGTGCCCCTCTGCTGTCACCTGTACCGCGTGCCAGACGAGCACAGAGGGGCCAGCCGAGCTCCAGGAGCTCAGTGGGGGACCAGGCAGGCAGCCTCTCAGCAGGGTCTGGAGGAAGGGCTGGGGGCCCTCAGGGAGGAGGGGCCTGTGCACAGAGGCCGGACCCAGCAGTGTAGAGCCTCTCGGAAATGAGACCTCTCTGGTGACGGAGCACAGGGGCCCAGACTGCATCCGTCTCTTTCTCTAGCTCTTTGTTTCTAGTCTCTGTCTCAGTTTCTCTCTGCTGTGGTCTCAGGGTCCTCACTTCCAGGAGGCCATGGTCCGTGCGCACTGGAGCAGAGCCAGGCCGCAGGATGTGCCAGGGGCGGGTCCAGCCAGGGAACTGCCTCCCACAGATCGTGGGAGGAGGAGGAAAGCACTGGGCTGGAGGCAGGAGCTGGGAAGTGTCACCCCACCCAAGGACGCTCGGTCTCGGCATGACAGGTTTCCTCCCAGGGCCTGTTTCCCCATTTATAGGACGAGCAGGGGGAGCCACCGCGGGGGTCTTCAAATGGCAGAAAGGAAGTAGCTTTACTCTTGTCGAAGTGAGGACAGAGGCCCCGCGCACATCCCCACCCCCGTCCACACGCCAGCCACACTCGGGGGGATGCTGAGCTCCGGGTTTGCGGTCCTGGGTCTGGCTGCCCCCAGGGTTTGCCCTCTGACGGACAGAAAGGTTTTCAGCTCCTTTGGTGGGGTGGGCATCTCTTTTGTGTGGGGTCCACGTCAAGGGCTTGAGGGCCTCTGGCAGCGTTTTATCCTAGTAAGTTTCTCCCTCCTCTCTCCTTCCCCTCTGTGGCCCTTGAGGAGGGTGAGGGAGGAGAGGTCTCTGACTGTGCGAGCTTTTACTATCAGCAAGAGGGCTCCTTTTGTAATTTGTGCATGAAATTCATGTCATTTCCTGGGGAGAGGAGAGGGCTAATTAGAGAGGGTGGGGGGCATGCGGGGGGAGCAGGCTGAGGTTTCCTTCCCTTGTGGGGGTGGGGACAGGCGTGGAAAGGGGGTGCTACCCAGCTCACCCAATCAGGGCTCTTGAACCAGCCGTTTTGGGTTGTGTTAAAAGTGGGAACCTTCCTCCATTAATGTACAATTTCGAACTAACTGCTAATAAAGTGGGGTTCCATTTGTACGCATTGGTCATGTCTGTCTGTCTGTCTGTCTGTCTGACATATTCTCAGGGCCTGCAGAGGAGGATGGAGATACAGATGTTCACACGCATGGCCCCTCTGGCTATCCCCCCCCACACATACACACTGTGACTTGGTCAAATCCCAGGTCATTTCCAAGGGGTTGTAAATGGAAGCTTTTCCAGGTAGCAGAGGCCCGCCCCACAGCTGCCCGCCAGGTGAGGCATCTCAGGTGAGGAAAGAGCCCAGGTCTTTAAGTGCCAGACTGAACAAAGCCCTGGGCATTGAGGCTCAGCATCTAGACCCCGTTCTGCCACAAATGTGTAGTGTGACTGGGAACAAGTCCCTTTTACCTTTTCATCCTCAGTTTTCCTTCCCTTTAGGGGTTTGGAGGGAACTGGACTTAGTGGCTGCCCCTGGAGAATTTGCTTAAAACACCAGATTCCCAGGCCATACCTTCAGAGATGGCTGCCCAGAAGATCTGGGCATGGGCTTGAACACCTGCATTTTAACAATCTCCGGGGCATGCTGAGGCACCCGCATAAGGGAACCATGGCTCAGATGGACGGTTCCATACAGGCTCTAATTAATTCAGAGTCCCTCTGTCCAAGGAACAAAAACTTTGGATGAAACAAATGCCTTTCTAGCCCCCCCAGCCTGGTTGGGATTTGCTGGGGAGGGCCCTGGCCAGATGTCTACAGTGATGGTTCTGGACCTGCTCCCTCAAACCCCCCTACAAAGCTTTGAAAATGCACATTCCCAGGCCCCCCCCCCAAATTCACTCAATCAGCACCTATGGGAATGGGACCCAGCAATGTGCATTTCAACACAGTGCCACCTAGTGTGAGCTTGAGAAGGTGACAAATGTGGGGCGCTGCTAAGGGGCATGCTGGGACCCAGCTGGAATACACTGGAACACCCACCCCACCAGCACGAGAGCCGCACTTGCAGAGATGACTTCTCGGTGTGCCATCTGGGAGCCCGGCACGGGGCATGCAGCACCGCCGACGAGAACTTGGCTGGAGGCTGCGCCAGTGGGGACAGTTCCAGAAGGAGCACCTGCACCAGCTACGGGGTTGGGCTCCATCAGAAGTGTTTGACTTTTAAAAACAGCAAAGATTCTGTAAAAGAGAAATGTAATTGGAAACCAGGTGAAGTCTGGGTGCTCTGGTTGGAGTGGGGGTGAGAGTCTGGCCTCTCACCAGCTCCACTTCCCCCTCCCTGTCCCCCATCCTATCTGGGGCCCGCCGATTCCTTGAAACATACTGTGAAAAGCCAACTGGGCTGCTCTCAGAGGTCCCAAGAGTCCTGCAAATCTACCAGGTGGGGTGAGCAAAAACACACTAGCCCCTGCGCATCCCCTTCAGTGGGGATGCTGGTCTGGGAGTCTGCGACCCCAGGAGCATCTGTCTCGGAGAAGCCCAGGGTGGGTGTTTCAGACTAGCAAAGCACCGGAAACAACCTCGATGTCCGTCCGCAGGGAATGAGCTACATAGCCTCCGGTGGAGCCACATGTTCCACATGCTGGAACACGACAGTGCAGCTGAAAACATTAGTCTTACCGGGGACGTTTCTGCAAGACGGACCTACCTATACTGTGTGACTATTTGTGGAAAGAGATCACTACATAGTGTGTCATTTTTCTGGGAGTATAGATATATTATGTGTCATACATATATCATACTGAACTGGCAACAGGGGAGGGGACAGGGGAGAGGGGTCTTCCAAGGGGACTTGAGCTTTGGCCGAAACGTTTTTAAAAAATTAAGATAATGTATTCATCTGTGGAATTAAAAAGTTCTAATAAGAGTAACTAGAACTGGGCGAGGCAGAAAGGAGGTGCTGCGGGCAGTTGGACGGGCGTGAGATGGGGCCGTGAAGGCCGTAACACCACTGACCTTCACCGGCCGGGGGGCTCCCATCCGGGGCTGGGCCCAAGGGCAGTGGGGGACGTTCTTGCTGAAGTTCCTTGAGCACTTGTCAAGGCCCTGAGCTGAGGATCCTGACTTGCTGTGTGACTGCAAGCAAATCTCTGCTGCCCTCTGGCCCGGGATGGGGGCCTCAGAGTTCACTAACATCACAGCGTTGGGACAGACCAGCATCTTACGAGAAGGACACACGCAGCCTGTGACATTCCTGAGTAAAACTGGTAACATGAGTCAAGGGAAAATGGCAGAACTGCCAAGGGGGACGTTTTGCAAAATAACTGGCCTGAGCTCCAGAAATGTCAAGGTCCTGAGAGATAAGGGAAAGCTGAGACCTGGTTCAAGATTAAAGTCTGCTAAAGGGACCCGGCAAGTCAATCAAATGGCGTGTGTGACCCTGGGGACAACCAGCAAAATGTGAATATAGACGGTGTGTGTTGGATAATAGTATTGTATCAGTGTTGAATTTCCTGATTTTGATTATTGTACTGTTATGTAAGAGTATATCATTGTTCTTAAGTAGTACACACTGAAATATTTACAGGTAAGAGGAAGGAAATGGAGCTGAATTTTGACTTACTCTAGTGGGTCCAATTTATGTGGTGCAGTTCACAATATGTCCACCAGGGGGCAATATCACACCAGCGTCTCAAAGCTGAGGTCAGTGTGAACCAGCCCACAAGACTGGGCTGCTGGTTAATGGTGATGGGGTAATAATGCGATAAACAACATCAGTAAATTAAAATATATGAATAATAAAAAGTACTGCTCACTCTGAGTCAACTAGATAATACCTCTTAATCCTTACAACAACCCTCTGAGGTAGGTATTATCATTGCCATTGTAGACAAATCACATGCAGAACTTTGAAGTCAGACCCTTACCTCACACCATGTACCAGAATTAACTCAAAGTTGATCAAAGAGCTAAATGAAGAGCTAAACTATAATACTATTAGAAGAAAACATAAATGCACATCTCAATGACCTTGGGTTTGGTGATGGCTTCTTAAATATGACACCAAAGTACAGGCAACAAAGGAGAAATAGATGAATTATTCTTCATTAAAATTAACAACTTTTGTGCATGAAAAGACACTGTCAAGACAGCGCAAAGACAATCCTCAGAATAGGAGGAAATGTTTGCAAGCCATATGTCTGGTAAGGGTTTAACATCCAGAATGTATAAAGAACAACTCAATTTAAAAATGAGCAAAGAATTTGAAAAGACATTTCTCCAAAGAAGATGCACAAATGGCCCACATGAAAAGATGCCCAACCTCCTTAGCCACCAGGGAAATGCAAATCAAAACCACTGCATACCTGTCAGGATGGCTACAATTTTTTAGAAGGAAAATTAGTTTGGGCGACGATGCAGAGAAGCTGGAGCCCTCCTATGTTGCTGGTGAAACTGTAAAAGCGGTGCGGCCGCTGCAGAAGACAGTTCCTCAGAAAGTTAAACGTGATCCACAGCAGCCAAAGCTGGGCTCAACCTAAATGCCCATCAGTGGGTGAGTGGACAAACTATGGTCTGTGCACATGGTGGAATATTGTTCAGTTGGGAAAAAGGAATGGGATTCTGGTAGATGGTACAGCAGGAGTTAAACTTGAAAATACTATACGAAGTGAAATAAGCCAGGCACAGAGGAAAATATTGGATGATTCCACTTGTATACAATATCAAGAACAGGCAAATTCATAGAGACAAGGTGATTAGTGGTTACCAAGAGCTGAGGGGAAAGAGAATGAAAAGTTACTGTTTTCAAGGTCCCTCGTGTTGCAGCGGGTAGTAGTACTTCAAGCCATTGTCCACAAAGGTCCGGGCACTTGCTAGTCCTACATTCCTGGGGCTCCAGGTTCTCCATGGTCCCCTTAGAACTTCTCACTTTCCATTATATCTGTCCTAATGGGCGTGAAGTGGAATCTCATTCTGGCCTCTGACTTGCATTTTCCTGATAACTAATGACAATGGGAGTCTTTGCATGGGTCTGCTGGCCATGGGTATGTCTCCTTTGGAAAGACGTCTATTCAGGTTCTTTGCCCATTTTTTAATTGGGTTGTTTTGTCTTGGTTGTTGAATTGTAAGAGTTTCTCTTTATATTTTGGATACTAGAACTTTATCAGATAGGTTATTTAGGTTTTTGATCCATTTTGAGTTAATTTTTGTACACCATGTGGGGTCGAAGTCTAATTTCATTCTCTTGGAGGTGGGTATCCAGTTGTTCCGGCAGCATTTTGTGACAGGACTGTTCTTTCTCCCATTGAATCGCCATGGCACCCTTGTCAAAGGTCAACTGACCACAAATATAAGTACAGACTTATACCCTCAATTTTGTTCCATTGGTCTACAGCCAGTTTCACACTGTCCTGAATACTGCGACTTTGCAGTAATTATTGAAGTCAGGACTAATTTCTGTAGCCTTGTTCTTTTTTCCTCAAAATTGTTTTTGGCTGTTTGGGGTTCCTTGCATGTACATGTGAATTTTAGGATCAGCTTGTCAATTTCTGTAAAAGCAGGTGGCTGGGGTTTTAATGGGGACTGTGTTGAAGCCATGGGTTACTGGGGAGTTGCCACTTAACGATACTGAGCTTCCCCCCTGCCGTGCCGAGTTGTGTGTGTGTGGAGCAAGACGGGCACAGATCCCTTCCCTGGAAGAGCCCCGAACAGCCCTCGGGCCTTCTCCTCCCTTCTCCTCCATCATGACATTTTTGGAGGCTCATTTCCTCTGTCAGATTCATAGCCCTTCAATCCCTCTTCTTACAGGAAGTCTTCCTGGCTTGCCTCTGTATACTTCGTGATCACAGATATTCATGGGTAGTCCTTTAAAAAGATTAAAATATAATTTAACAAGTGTGATACAATACTATAGAATATGATATATGGGTTGTATTGTAGATAATTTGATTACAGCATGTGTTTCTATTATCACAGTACGTATTTTCATCATTCTGCAGATAGGTATACTGTAGGCATTTAGTTCCCATGCACAGATTTGAGTTAAGCATGATGTGGTGGAGCTGAGAAGGCCCATCCAGTTCCTTAGTTCTTTCTTACTTATTTTGTACATAGGTGAATGG